TGAAAGGTCTTAATCCACGTCACTGTTAATCTATGTTAATAACACAGTGTTGCTAATAAACCAAGATGCGACACTACAGAGTACCATTATCATCTTAACGTATCAAGAAAGCTAACCCAGTGACTCTTGCTAGGATAGCGCTGACAGAATTCAGTTGCAAAATTAGAAAAAATTACTAACATCCTTCAGTTTCTTATGACTAAGCATCTCTCAACACAACTTTTTGTTTTCTGTGTAATTTCATCAGGGTAGGGTGTTTTCTGGGTCAGAAGCAGCAACGTGAAATTTTCCAGTTTTGTAAAGCTACCACTAAGCCACTCAACTCCCTTCGTCAAACATGTACAAACTTTAGTATTTTGAAAGAGAAAGAAGAAAATCTTTCTAACTACACTATGTGTTATATATATATCCCGTTATCTCCTTCTGCCTTTGCAACACTACAGGTAGTCCTCAATTTACAACGGTTCATTTAGTGACCATTTGAAGTTACAACAACACTGAAAAAATAGCTATGACCCTTTTTCACATTTATGACCGTTGCAACATCCACATAGTCATGCGATCAAAATTCAGATACCTGGCAATTGACAGATATTTATGACGGTGGCAGTATCCCAAGGTCACGTGATCATTTTTTGCGACCGCCTGACAAGCAATGTCAATGGGGAAACCAGATTAACTTAACAACTGTGTTACTAAGTTAACTGCAGTGATTCACTTAACAACTATGGCAAGAAAGATCATAAAATGAGGTAAAATTCACTTCACAACTGCCTCGCTTGGCAACAGAATTTTTGAGCTCAATTGTGGTCATAAGTTGAGGACTACCTGTATTCTAAAAAATATCATTCAGAATGGTTTTCAAACAAGCCTACTTCCAATGCGTGCGGTATGTGGAAATGGATTAGGGGTTGATGGAAGAAAATTCAATTCAAAAATGATTTTTTTCATGCACTCCCTATAAACTCTGTTTAATCATCAACGTGACTTGCAAGCAACCAAAACCAGGATCACTTAACCTTCTTTCAGGTGATAAGTAACTGCCAGGCTGAAACTAATTTCACTGCATCTGTCTCAAAAGAATAAGCAAACAGGTAAAATCCTTTAAGATACTCCACTTTTCTGAACACGCAAATGTGGCACCTTTAAAGTTAGCACACACAAAAGGGAGGAAGCTCCACACACTCCGCAAAGTAAGATGAAAACCTTTCCACCAAAGCTGCACATCTATCAGAATAAATATTTGAGCGGGCACATGCACACACCTCCCAAAGAACCACTTTCCCTATAAATATTACTTACCTCAGAACGTGTAATGGTAGCTATGTCGAATCCTGTTTTTATGCTCTCAAACTGCTTCCTTTTCATGTAGCCGGTCCAGTGTTGTTCTTATTCAACCTTGGTTCAGAACCAAACCTCATATTCTTCTAACAGGGTTCAACTATCCTTTTTTTCTTAGAAACCCAGAATTGTTTAATATTTTCTCAGAGGCAAAGTAGTCCAGCTGCTTTTTTATTTTCCAACCCTACAGGTCCTATGAGATGGAGTAATCAGAATAAGTAGTATTAATAATCAGTCATTAGTAGTCTTATCTATATACTACACTAAAACATCTCAGGGTTTGTTTGATTTTGACTTAGGAAGGTATACAATGTCAGCTCATGATTTCTAAGGCAAAATGCTGTATTTTATATTAAATATATAATATATTATATTAGAATATTAGGTAAACACAGTAAATTGTAGTTAATTTAACATAGGCCAGTTAAGCAAACTGATAGATGAATTCAGCTCTTGCAGTATTTAACCACAGTTTACCATTGCATTGGCTCAATAAATTACAATTTATTTGATAAACTATGGAATGAGCAAACTAGCTTAACTCTGTGTGATTTCTACAGTGTTTCAAATATGCCACATACTAATTAACTAACTTTGTTAGCACATTAAATGATATAGAAGTGATAGTGTCTGTATTTTAGAATCAGCTATCAATAGCAAAGAAATTAGCAGTCAAGAAATATACCACACAATAGCATTTGGTAGAACATCCGTGAAGACCTTGGGAAAAAATATTCAAATGCTGTATCTCTAACTACAAAAATAATAGCACAAGCAGTGGCATTTCTCTGTAAAACTCTATGGAAGTGAAAGTTGGATATTGAGGAAGCAAGCTTGGAAGAATATTGATGCTTTTGAACATTGGTGATAGGCTCAATGAGAACATCATGGGAAGCCAAGAAAACAATGAAATAAATTATCAAATGACTGAAGACCAGAGTTCTCACTCAAGAAACAATAATTAGGTTCAAACTATCCTACTTTGGAGACATTACACAAAAATCTAGCTCTCTAGAAAAGACTTTGATGGTAGAAAAGACAAAATAGAAGATGACAACCAGAAATTAATGGTAGCACTATTAGAAGACTTGAAAGATCAGGTTAAAGTCAGATCAGAATGGAGAAAATCTATTGTACCTATGTAGTTGCTCCGAGTTGACATTAACTTGGCAGCACATAATCAACCAGCACAATAACCTATTAGAAATTATGGAATTGTATTCTTATAAGGTAAATGACTCCATGATGCCTTCTAGCCAGACCACATTTTGGGTCTGACTCCAGGAAACTCCAGGTCACAAAATAAAATTAAAAAACACTTGAGTCTTTCAGCCAAAGGTTTGATATTTTAGATGAAGCTGATAGGAAGCTGACAGACATTTCAACCAAAACCATTAAAAATCCCCTCAGGTTATGGAAATTCTTTCCACACAAAGAGAATAAAACAGGTCAAAGGCGATAGTATTCAGGAAAAGATTCCTTTCAGGATACCAGAGATTACACCTTTTAATTAAGAAGTGGTGGTGGAGTGGTTAGAATGCAGTATTGTAGGACACTTCTGCTAACTGCCAGCTGCCAGCAGTTCAATTCTCCCAGGCTCAAAGTAGAGTCAACCTTCTATTCTTCTGAGGTTAGTAAAATGAGGAGCCAGATTGTTGGGGATAATATGCTGGCTCTTTGAACTGCTTAGAGGACTGTAAAGCATCGTGAAGCAGTATATTAGTCTAAGTGCTATTTCTATTGCTAATTAATGAAAGATCCTTTCCTCTGGTTGCCAGTGGTCTTTTTCTGCTGTCAGTTTTTGTTGCACATTTCTATGTAATATTTACAGGAAAGGGGGTCTTTTGGAAGGTGAGTGAACGTGGCCTTTGAAATGTTTAATTTAGCAGACGTGTCGCTCTGCTGGGTTAATGATCTTATCTAACTTTGCTGAGTGCGTAAGATCTTCCTCATTTTTGTGTGTGCCTATGTGCTGATTTTGTACGTTTGTGAAAGCTCTGTATCTTGAATGGATCTTACCTGTTTACTAATTTTTTGAGACAGATGTGGGCTTATCAGTTTCCGCCTGGCTGTTAATCATCAGCTGAAAGAAGCTAAGCCTCAATATTGCATTTTTAAATTTTTTGCAACATAATTTCTTTCAGCTATTGGCAGGTCATGTTGATGATTAAAAAAAATTCACAGTGCATGAATAAAATTATTTCTGAATCGAATTTTCTTTCCACAGTTGACTCAATGGACCATAACAATATAACAGGATTAGTATTACTATGCAATTACAAGATGAGGAGAATTAAAGGAAGAGGTGGAGGTGGAGGCTGCTTGTTGCATTCACAAATAGAAGCAGCTATTTTGTTTTTTCTTTTCAACAGCTAACATCCTGAAAAAAATTCAGCCCCTAAATCTTTTTGTCATCATGGTACTTACAGGCTCAATTTCTTATCTCTTGTTGTTAGTTGCGAAGTCGTGTCCGTCCCATCCCGATCCCATGGACGACGTTTCTCCAGGCCTTCCTATCCTCTACCATCCTCATAGTTCACGCTGGCTGCTTCGGTGACTCCATCCAGCCACTTCATTCTCTGGAGTCCCCTTCTTCTTTTGCCCTCAATCTTTCCAAACATTAGGCTCTTCTCCAGTGAGCCCTTCCTTCTCATTAGGTGGCCAAAGTATTTGACTTTCATCTTCAGGATCTGGCCTTCTAAAGAGCAGTCAGGGTTGATCTCCTCTAGGACTGACCCTTTGATCACCTTGCAATCAAGGAACTCGCAGGAGTCTTCTCCAGCACCAGAGTTCAAAGGCCTCAATTTCTTTGGCACTCAGCCTTTCTTATGGTCCAATTTTCACAGCCATACATTGCAGTTGGGAAAACCATAGTCTTGACTATATGCACTTTTGTTGACAGGGTGATGTCTCTGCTTTTTAGTATGCTTTCCTCCCCAGGAGCAAACGTCTTTTAATATCTTGACTGCAATCCCCATCTACAGTGATCTTGGAGCCCAGGAAAATAAAATCTGTCCCAACCTCCATTTCTTCCCCATCTATTTACCAGGAATTGAGAGGGCTGGATGCCATGTTCTTGATTTCTTAATGTTTTATCTCTAGAAACAGTCAAAAGGAAGCTGTGGAAAAGGTAGCTGTTTTGTGAGCTAAGAAGTTTGTGAGAGTGTTGCTTTTTGATTGGTGGTAAGACAATACTTTGTTTAAAATTGTGTAGAGACAGAAAGTGCGGTTGCTTAACGATTGTGGGCAAGAAAATATATTTGACTATTTCATCTTTTCAGATAAACTGCCGTTATTTGGCGTATAAACCTGGATTAGCAAAAGCCTCGATGGCAAGAGACGCTCTACAAATTTACGTTATCTATGGCGTTTTAGATTGAAGCCTTCCGGTTGCGTAAAAAGGACTTCCGGCGACAGCCATATTTTAAATCCGCAAAAGGAACGTTTTAGCCCGGCAGTCTGACATTACTTCCTGTTTTTTGAATACTTGAACCAACTTCCGGTCGAGAGAGAAAAGGTGCGGCCGCGTCTAGATTGGCACCCTCGCACAGTTCTGCATTCATTATTGGGTTCTGATACATTTCCGGTTTGGTTGTTTCGGTTTCTCTATTGGCTGTTGGGGCGGGGGAAAGAATCAGGAAAAGGGGATCCTCGGAAGGTAGGAGGGCGCAGGTGCGCACGCGCAGAGCGAGACGGCGTGTGCTACTAAAGTTATTCTCAGGCCGAGGCGGGGGATTTCTGCCCTCAAGCTATCGAGCTGCCAAGGAAGGAGGAGCCGGCTAAGAACTTGCGAGCTTTTCTTGCGCCTGCGCTGTGGGTTACCCTCCGTTCTCTTCCCTCCCCCCCCACACCCTTTCCGCCGGTTCATCTGCGAGGTGCGAAAAATAAAATAGAAACAAAGCTATGAGAGACCGAACGCTGGAGCTGAGAGAGGTGAGAACGCTACCCGCGCGCCCCTTTTCGACGCACGACTTAGCTCCGCCCACAACGGTCGCGTTTGCCCCTCCCTTGGCACCAACGGCCGTTCGCCTCGCCCTCCCCCGATTCCTGCAGGCTGTTCTCTTTCCCCTCCCCCCCCGTCGCAAATTGGTGTCTTTTCTCATCACCACCACCACCCCTCCTCTAGTGAAACCCAACGGCTCATTCCCTTTTCCCTCTTGACTCGCAAGTTCCTCTCACCACTGGACCCATTCACACATCCTCTTTCCTCCCCTTTAATCTGGGTGGCTCCCTCAGTTGCCTCTCTTCCTCCCCGGGGAGATAGAAGGTCCTCTCATGCTGACATGGAGGAAAGCCTCGATTGGCCCTTCTGCCTCTTCTCTTCCAGCACAGAATGGGAAGAGTTTAAAACAAATAGGAAGAATTTTAACAATCATATTTAAAATGGCGGCCGACCCTTTGCCTTTCGTTCCCATCACCTTTCCAGAGGTGGTGCGCCTTCCTCCCCTTCACCTCTGGACCTCCTCAGCTGCAATTTTCTCCTGCCCTCCATAAATTGAGGCTGCTTAAAAAAGAAGGTTTATTGATGAGCAGAACCAACAACAGCATCCAGTTTTGGGACAGTATGATCCCCCTTGGCTTTAAGCATGGGTGGATTTTTATGGGGATCTTGAAGTGCTCCAGGGGGTTGTGAAATGTAGTGAGTTCTGTGCCTTTTGCTATAATAATGGTGGTGGGTTAAATCCTATTATGTCCTAAAGGTTATGTCCTCTTTCTTAGAATTGGGGCTGTAAATTCTTAACCCCATCAGCTGGAGTGGAAGTTGTTTTATGTATGGATAGATTGGCCCAGTCTTTCTTAATAAGTACAAAATATCCATCTATAAAAGACTTCAGGCATCTGCTGGAGGTTATTTTCCAATAGCAGGAAGACGGGCTGATTTCAGCCTTTAAGAGCATATTATTTCTCCTTTGGAGAAATATAATATTCTGCCTCATTTTAATATTCCCCAAAATATGGGGGAGGGTGTGCGCTTCTTACACTCCATTTTATTTCATTTCTTCTCCCCTCTTCTACATACCTATAGCCCCCCCCTCCCCGTTACTTTTCTTGGCATGATTGTTGGCAAGCCTGAACTCTTAGTGTCATCCCAAAGAAAATTCAAGGCAGTGTTTCTCCATTATAGCAATTTCAAAATGTGTGTTCAATTCCCCAGCCAGCCACAACAGCACACAATGCCTGTCAGCCTGAAGTGACAAAAATTGAAACAGGAAAGATATGGGAGCCACCCTCAACCAATTCCTAGTAATTGATGCTGGCTGCACTCTGATGGGAATAGTACTCCCAGGTGGCCAAGGGTCAGTGGCAGCTTCACAATCTAGTCTAGAGGCAAGATGATTGATTAACATCAATAGGGAGAGCTGACCTGGATCCAAAATAAGAATGTGGGCCTGATTGAGTCTTTTGAAATGGAATTGCAGTGGAAGGGCAGATTTTAATTTTGTCTCGGAGGAGGTTTGCAAATGGGTTGGTATAAAATTATTTACACACGTATTTATGCATGCTTTTTATTGTCTCACCAGTTGCCACTCAATCTATATTCATTATGCCTGTATTGTGGACTTTCCTTTTTTTTTTGTCCCTTTGACTCAGTCTTGTCTCCTGGCAACTGTCTGGAGATGTCATTGCAGTTTTCTTGGCAACACTTTGGAAGCGGTTTCCTCTGTAGGCTGAGAGAAAATAATTGACTCAAAGTCATCCAATTAAATGTGTGCTGAAGATGGAACTAGAAATTAGTCTCCCATTATCTAGGTAATGCCTTAAACACTAACCCAAACTTGGTTCTCTCAACTTTCCTTAAACTTCCAAAATTCTTCAATCCCTGTATACTGAATAAGTATTATTCGTTATTCAATTTTTTTTAAAAAAAAAAATTTTAACTCGGAAGAGAACTGATTCCAGTTGCCAGTGGTTTTTGTTAGAAAGGGTACTGGTTTCACAATTCGATGAAAAATACTTTTATTTCCAATTAATAAATAGCTTTCTAAAAATTTCTAAAGAAAGGAAGAGAATTGGTTCAACTATTCTCAGAACATAATTGTGGTTCTTAGAGCAAAACCATACTAATTAAACAGGGCTGGATAATTGTAATACATGGTTAAAGTTTTAATCGGCCAAAGCATTTATCTCTAATTAAATAGTAGCAATTATTCTGCTACTTTCTCTTACATTTTGAGAAAGGAGACTTTTTTGCTTTTGGAAACTCATGATTCCCTAAGACCTTTGAAAGTGCTGTGCCAGTTCTTGGTGTCTTCTGAAAAAACATTTATTTGATGCGACCATAGTTTGAGGACGACTGAGTTATAGCAATGACATAGAATTTCCAAGGGAGGAAATTCTATTGTCTAGCTGAGTGGTTTCCAAATTTGGCAACTTGAAGATTTGTGGACTTCTCTTCCTGGAATTCCTGAGCCAGGCATGCCAGGTTGCAAAAGTCATCTTTTTTCTCTCCAAATTCTATAAAATGATATACATTAAAAGTACTTGTTAGCAAAATGGACTTTTTGGGTTAAGCAGTAGCATTAAACTCTGAATCCACGCATAAAAGCCTGCACAAACTTTGCAAATTATAGCCATATCTTATACAACCCGGAAGAGGTAAAACCCAGTTTCATTTCAGTCATCACAAGTGAATTCTAGATTAAAGATTAAGTAAATAGTGAAAATATATAGTCTTTATATTTTCTGCATCTGTTGACAATTTATATAATGTAGCATTCAACTACATGTAATCCTCAATTTACAATCAAGTTTAGTGACCAGTCAACATTTCAACAGCACTGAAAAAGGTGACTTTTAACCAGTCCTTGCACTTGCATTGCAGTGTCCCTGTGGTCACATATATCTACCACGCATGAAGTATATGTGCTTCTCATACATACTGTACCTGATTTTCTTTTGTTTTATCTTTTTTCCCACAGAAAGATGATGAGTCAGACAATGAAGATGTTGAAAGCGTGGCTCTTGTCCCACAGCGTGGATTAGCAAAATCCAATAACTTCCCTGACCCTACTGATGGATTCTTCCAAATGGTATCATGATCTTCTTTCTGAGCACTTTGGGGTTGATAATCCACTTATTTTGTTCTCGTTTTCTCTCTCCCTCTCCCTCCCTCTCTTTCTTTCCCCCTCCCTCCCTCCATGTATATATAAATAATAGTGAAGTATTTTTCCTGTCTTCTGTAAAAACTCTGATTTTGCTCCCTTAAGTGATTAAAAGTACCCACTTAAATACATCAACTGCATTCCCTACTAACTGTATAATATACCTCTCCCTCCCCCACACATGAACTGCTTAAAGTCCCCTGGCAATGAAATATTCACAACAAGCTGAATTGATCCTGGATGGCAACAGGGGGAGAATCAGACAGGAGACAGTGGCCCAGATAACTCAGATTATTTATTCACTGGTTGTATCTTAAATATAGTACAGCTAGCATGCTGACCTAGTGGAAAAGGATCAATAATGAGAATAGCATCAAGATGGGTTTATCCAAAAACATTCCAATCTCATGCTGTAATTAACATTATGTCTTCCTCTTTTTTATCTGGTTTTTGAAATGTAAAAGAATCAAACAAAGTAATAACCAAAAGCCAACATATGTTTGTCAAAAACAGATTAGGCCAGACAAATCGTATTGCATTCTTTGACAAAGTGACAAAATTAGTGGACCAGAGGAATGCCATTGATATAGTTTACTTGGACTTCAGTAAGGCATTTGATAAGGTAGACCATAAGCTACTACTAAATAAAGTAGAAGAATGTGGGGTAGACAGCATCACCACCAGATGGATTNACCTTACCCACTCTCATGGCCTTCAGGAAAGCCATTAAAACCTGGCTGTTCCAGCAGGCCTGGAGCTGTTGACCTTAGTGTTAAGGTCCAGCCCTGATTAGAACGTATGTGTGTTGTGAATTTTAAACTATTTTTTATTTATTTTGCTTTTCTTTTTTTCTTCTTTCATTGTAAGCCGCCCAGAGTCCTCCAGGATTGGGCGGCCTATAAATTTGATAAATGAAATGAAATGGCCAAATCCACAATTTTAGTTATTTGGGATAAAGATACATGCTAGAGAATCTGAGTTATAGATCTGTTCAATCACTGAAATTATCATGCATTTATGGCGAAGTCTGGTAACTGCTCACAGATGGGCCTTTTTAATGATGCTGCCTCCACTCTAGAATGTTCTCTCTCTCAACATTTGAGAGAGACCTGCTATAACAATTTTTAAAAGTTTTATAAAGAATACATTACATTCCTTTAATATATTATTTATCATTAAATTAACATTTATTGCTGCTTTTATTGTATTTTTAAAGTAATTTTATTAAAGATTATAACTGCAACAGTAAAAACTACTACAAACTGAAAGAAAGCAAAAAAGTAGAGAATCAAAGTGCCAAGGAAGAGAAACAATGTAAAAGAAAAGAGTAAAGAAAAAGAAGTGATCTCCAACCTTCATCACAATTAATATAAACAATTTTAGTAATTTTTCTCCTCTTACTTTACAACCAATGATCGCTTTGTTCTGTGTTCCATTTCTTACCTATAAATAAATCTATGAATTTATTTCATTATCATTTCAGTCCTGGTGTCCACAAAAGACCATTAAAAGTTGCCAGAAATAACATCTGTTTTTACCTTGATCAAATAAACCAACTTCATGTTCCTTTCTTTTATTTCCAACAGTCTTAATTTTAATCCATTCAAGTACTCTTGTAGAACTACTTATTTCTTTTTTACCCCTTCCCACAAGATTCATCCAAGCTTTAACTAGCCTCTTTTGTAAATCTAATATGACACAATTATCCAGATCACTTTCTTGATTTTTTATTTGTAATTANATACCTTTTGTAGCCACAGATCCCAAAGACTTAAGATTTAAATCATAAAATTTCTTCAAGGCTTCACAGACGCCCTGTGATGACATGACAGGCACAGATTGAGAACCACTGACCTATAACAATTATCAATGTTTCTGAGCTCCCTTAAATATAAGATCAGGATTCAATCATTGCTACTGAACTTCTCATTATATCATTTATCCCCTTTATAGACACGTGAGATCCGTGAATCCTTGAAGGTCCTGGAACACAAAGTGAAGGACCTAGAGAAAAATCAGACTACAGTCCTGGCTTCACCAATCCCTGATGACAGTAGGTTTTCAACAGTCAAGCTTCAATCTGCCAATATATACCCTGTGGCTTAAATGTATATGGCATCTTGCCGGCTGTTGCTTAAAATGTTATGTGTTCCAAAAATATAAACGGAAAACTAATGGCAAATGCTACAATCCCTCTTTAAAGCTTAGTTAAATTAGAACTGAAACTTATGATGACATGGTAAAGATGACCAAAAATACCATCTTTGAGGCGGAATTAGTGGAAAAAGGAAACATGCTTCAAACAAGAGACTTACACAAATGAGGCAGCAAGGAAGATTAGTCAATATTGATCAAGAAAGCAAGAGACCTTTGGTCAGTTGAGAGTAGGAATCAAGAGTAGAAACCAGCCTGTTTAAATGTAACAAGAACTGAAAGAAAATGACTTGCACTTACTTTAAAAATAAAGGCAAGAAATTTGTGTTTTGAGTAGAGTCAGAAGAATTATTTTGGCAGGAGAATTCGTAGTAGAGATATAAGAACTGAGGTTTGGAGAGAGAGAGATAGAGACTATTGAAGAGAAATAACTAAAGTACAGGTAGTCCCCACTTTCTGACTGCCTTACTTTATGACCATTTAAAGTTATGACAACATAAAAATAGTTTTGCAATCAATCCTTGCATTTATGGCCTTCATAATAGGTGATTGTTCGGGCATTTCAGAACTGGCTTGCAACAAGCTGCATTAATAAAGGCAGAAATAAAATTGTAAACTGTGATCACATGATATTTTGCTTAGGCAATTGCGGCCCTTAGCAACAGAGCTGCCAGTACCAATTGTGGTTACTAAGCAAGGGCTACCTGTACAGAAGAAAATGAGCAATTATGAATCAGACTTTCAGCAAAGGCATAAAGGAGATAATTTTTCAGAATTGTTCAGGAAAAAGTGGTATGACTTATAATGGATTGCAGGTAGCAATAGCACTTAGATGTATATACAGCTTCATAATGCTTTACAGCTCTCTCTCTAAGCCAGGGGTGTCAAACTCAAGGCCCTGGGCCCTGATCTGGCCTGTGGGGTGCTTAGATTTGGTTCACGGTGGGCCCTGAAAACAGTTAAGGACTGGCCTGTGGTGCCTCTGTTATCAAAAATGGAGCGTAGGATGGTTGCGTGTGTCCCTCCCAAACACTGTTTTCGCTAGCAAAGGGGTTGCAGGAGGCCATTGCAGCCAAAACAGAGCTTGGGAGCCCGTTTTTACTGGAAGAGCGCTCGGGCCATCCCAACACGAGTGACATCGAACTGGCCACATTCACCCCAGCCCCCCAAGGTCAAACACAACCCTGATGTGGCCCTCAATGAAATCGAGTTTGATACCCCTGCTCTAAGTGGTTTACAGAGTCACCCTTTCGCCCCCAACAGTCTGGCTCCTCATTTTACTGACTTCGGAAAGATGGAAGGCCAAGTATACCTTGAGCCAGTGAGGATTGAACTGCTAGTTGGCAGAATTAGCCTGCAATACTGCATTCTAACCACTGCGCCACCACAACAGTTTTGCTTAGTGATGGCCTTATTGCTAGTTACAATGAAAAGTAATTCTGTGACTAATGCCCGCATTTGCAGCTTTTACACCTCTCTAGGGGTACTCTCTGTAAAATCATAAATCTAGGAGTGTCCTGTATAAAATCATAAACCATAAACAGTCACGATCACATGATTTTTTGCTTTGTGACTGCTTTGCTTAACTGGGTTGATGGTCCCTAATTCTGTCACTAAATGAGGACTAAATTACTAAATTTGTTCTCATCATTTACAAGTAGTCCTCATTAGTTTCCCAGAGGAAAGGTGGGAGGTGGGGCAGTGTAATTCAGTCACAATGCTTGCAAGAATCAGATATGATGAAAATTAGTATCCTTTTTTGCATTTTCAATGTGTTTTCCAGATGCGAAGCAAGGCCTACAAAAGCTACGTGAGGAAATCAAGGAGATGGCAAAAGAAACAAGAGCCCAGCTGAAGAGTGAGTATGTGCACAACTTATGAAGAAAGCAAAGAGGGTTGTATCTTGACTCTTTAACCTAGGAATTAATATCTAGTGCTCTGAAAAAAATATCATGTTTTAGTCCCCAGAGCTCTCTTTCTTGAAATAAGCATTACAATCTCACTATAGCTACTTTTTAATTATGTAGAAATTGAGCCCACCAAGGAAGAACAAGATGAGAACAGAAATTCGTTCAACAACCGAATGAAGAGAAATCAGGTGAGAAGCAAAATAGTTGCTTGTCTTGATGGGGAAGCAAGATGAGGAGGCAAAAGGGGTCTGCATAACTCATACAGATTTCTGCTTCAGCATGGAATCCTTTCACAACAATTCTTGGATCTCATCAATAAATGCAACTCTATACAGTCTGATTACCGAGACAAAAATCTGGAGCGCATCAAACGACATATACAGATTAGTGAGTATTTATGGTTGCCTTTGTTAAGCACAGAAAATACTGTATTTTAATGTCAAGTCATCTTATAGAATTGCCCAAATCATTTGCCTGCTGTAGAAAGATTGAAACAACCAAAGTTTTTGGATATTTGGCGAGCCCCTGGAGGAGAGCCTTCTCTGTGGCTGCTCCGACCCTGTGGAATCAGCTACCCCCAGAGGTCCGAACCTTACCCACTCTCATGGCCTTCAGGAAAGCCATTAAAACCTGGCTGTTCCAGCAGGCCTGGNTTAAAATTTATTTGCAGGGATTTAATGTATTATTTTGTAAGTTTACTTGGGGAAATTATTTCTCTTCTTTTTTTTAATTACAAAAGCTACAGTTTGTTGTTTTTTGTTATATTAATTTTTCACGTTTAAGTTTTTGACTTGTCGCACAATGCAGGATAAGTTTTGCCTGTTAAAATTTAATTTTCATGGATTAACTTAGATTCAATGCATTTTCCATTCTTTGTAAATTGTACAATGCAAGGGTACAAGCACCTTGAAAAGTTCAAATATTCCCCTCCTGCTATGTGAGCTTTAGAATACAACTACAAACTCATCTTTATAAACTTGCTAAATTAACATCAGGGGAGGATTTAAGCGTGAAATGAGCAAGGCAACATTTTGATTGCAAACCTGAAAAGAGTATATTTTCTAGATCAGTTGACTGGATCAAGCTACAAATTATTGTTGTTTGAGGATTTGCAATTCCAAGCAGTATTTCATTTTGGCCAAAGCACAGGGAAGCAATTAAAATACCCCTTAACATTAAGTACAGCCTATGTATATTCTTCTATCAATAAGATATCAAATATGCCTCTAATAAAGGTAAAGGTAGCACTAGCATATATGTGCTAGTCGTTCCCAATTCTAGGGAGTTGTACTCATCTCTGTTTCAAAGCCAAAGAGCCAGTGCTGTCCAAAGATGTCTCCGTGGTCATGTGGCCAGCAAGACTAAATGCCAAAGGCGCACGGAATGCTGTTACCTTCTCACCAAAGGTGGTTCCTATTTTTCTACTTGCATTTTATGTGCTTTCGAACTGCTAGGTTGGCAGAAGTTGGAATAAGTAACGGGAACTCACTCCATTACACAGCACTAGAGATTTGAACCACTGATTGACAAGCTCAGCATCTTAGCCACTGAGCCACCATGGCCCTATGGCTCTAATGGCTAGTTACAAAATTATAGGGAGACAATAGGTGTGAAATTTGAATGCCTGGTATCTGAAGATGAATGGAAAGCCATTGTTAAAGAAGTAATTAGTAGGTTCATCTAACTGGGATAAACTATGGGAAAGAAATTATAAATTTATGACAGCAGTAGCCTACAAAGAAAACCTCTATAAAATGTTTTATAGATGGCATTTGCCCCCNAGCCATGATACAAATGTGGGTGAGATCAGAAATTGTTATATTGAGTAGTTCATGGATTTTTTTTTTATAGATTACGTTAAACCTATTAGGATATTTACAGATCTCAAGATGCATAGATCCAATCTGACAACTAGCCAAAAATGCAAAAGTAGTTTTGAGATTGTGCTCCTTATTCTTTTGCTCTTCCTTTTGTGGAATTCAGTAGAATTCAAACTTATGAGAATCAGTCTGCATTTTTTAAAATCCCAGCTTTCCCCTGCTGGTTAGTGATGAACAGAGTTACATTCTTAAATATCCCCCAACATGCAAAATGGCATTTTGGTGTAATTCTTTGGGGAAAAACAAGTACCTCTTAGAATTAATATCTAGCTTTTTCCTGTGCAGGATCGGTAGCAGAAGAGTAGCAACTGGAGAAGAGAAACAAGCTTTATGTTTTAAAAACCTGTTTTCTTCAACACTTAGGTGAAAAAACAATTCTGCCACTAGTAGGTCTGATGTATCTTTTTTATATTTCTTTCCACTTCCTGAGTTGGCCTCGTACAGGATACACAAGGAGGGGAAATAAACTGTGATGTGGTTTCCATTTGATGCTTGTAAAAGAGTCTCTGATAATAGTAATTTCAAATAAACTGTACTTTACCTTGCTCTCCATTTAATGTCCCCCTGCGCTTAGTGTTCAGAAATGCCTGGCTGTATGTAATCATCTTGCATCTGTGAGATGGTTCTGATTGTTGTCCTTCAAGCAATTGTGTGACTTGGTTAGTATGATTTATTAATTGAGGTGGATGTCAAAGAAAGACGCCAATCTCTGGGGAGTCACCATCTTGTCATTTGGACTCCCGCCATTCAAGTCAATTTTGCAGGAAACTGCGTAAGCACTGCTAAATGTTAAAGAGGTTTCATTTTTCTTCAGTCCGGCTACATTAATTTTAAATTATCACGCATGAAATGCATGTTGCTGCCATAATCACTTCCATCCTTCCTCCCTCTCTCTCTCTCTCCCTCCCTCCGCCTCCTTCTCTCACACTCACTCACTCTTTACATTACAAAAAAAGATGCTGTTAGTTTGGGAATAGTACAGAGAAGAGCAACTAAGGTGATTAAAGACTTGGAGACTAAAACATGAACAGCTGCAGGATTTGGGTATGGCCAGACTAGAGAAAAGAAGGACTAAGGGTGGACATGATATCAGTATTCAAGTATTTGAGGGGCTGCCAAATACTAAAGAAGATGATGTCAACTTATTTTCCAAAGCACCAGAAGGCAGGACAAGAAACGATGGATGGAAACTAATCAAAGAAAGAAGCAACCTGGAATTGAGGAGAAACTTCCTCACAATGAAGACAATTAATGGAAAAACTTGCCTTCAGAAGTTGTAGGGGCTTCACTCTTTTAAGAAGAGACTGGACAACCACCTATCGGAAATGGCATAGGATCTCCTGTTTCAGCAGGAGGTTGAACTAGAAGACTTCCAAGATCCCTTCCAGCTCTATTCTGATTGATGAGTTTGTAGCCATGATTTTAAAAATAATGGGTGGAGCCAGAAAAATAAATATGATTATAATTAACATTGCATTAAAATTAAATCAATACAATACAAAATTAAAAGAAGTCAAATACTCTGATCATTTAGTAATTCTTGTATTTCTGTCCCATTAAAAATAACAATTGGGAAACAGCTTTTGCAGATGTCAAGGTCACACCTAAATGTAAAAAAATCAAGAAATGGATGTTTAAGACCACCAGTGACCTAGATTAAGCCTAGCCTATACTGCAATTTTTGACTGCACTACATAAGCACTGTGCTAAAGCAGAACTGAGGAATCAAAAAAGACTCAAGAATTTTTAAAAACACTTTATTAAAATTCTACACATAAAATAAACATTAAAAAAATACAGAACATAGTAAAAAAAACTTAAACCTGCAAATATAAAACTAAATATATAACTTAAATGTACAGTAACTCAAGCCTTCACTTCTCATGGATTCATTAACCCTTTCTTATTTTATACTGTTTTAATCACTATATTTTCAGTATTCTCCCCTTATTTTTCTATAAACCCATGATCATCAAGCTATTTTTCTCTAATTTTGTAATATAATCCATAAATGATTTTCAGTCTTTAATAAAATCTTCTGTAACATTTTCCTTTTCAATTATTGCAAAGTAAATATTTTACCCATATTTCCCCCCAAATATCATGCCACTACCATGCCAAGAATTAAGTATCCATGTGGCATTACATTCTTTAACATATTCAGCTTCTGTGTCATAATTTAACAGCAATTTATATAAATTCTCACACATACATGTTTCTTCATCTTTGCATGATTCTATTTCAAATTCATTCATACTGCCAATCGATATTTTCTTGTTTCCTGTCTTTTTCATATTGTGCCAAAAAAGGGTCAAGATTTGATGCAAGATGANGAACAATTAATCAGTGGAACAACTTGCCTCCAGAAGTTGTAAATGCTCTAACACTGGAAGTTTTTAAGAAGATGTTGGCTAACCATTAGGGTTTCCTGCCCAAGCATGGGATTGGAGTAGAAGACCTCCAAAGTCCCTTCCAACTATATTCCATTCTAATCTACGACCGAGGGTGTATCGGCTGTAGTTCTGCTTTTGCTCAGAGCTGCTCAGCAAGCAACATGGTTTGCTGGAAGTCTGATGTACACTGTGATTATTTGTATGCTTAATCTGTTTGTTATATCTTCAAAGCAGTTTGGTTGTTTTGGTGAGCCAGGTTTTGTCCACAATACCATATTGTTTGATTGCTTGATATCTTCAGGGTTGCAGAAGATGTTTTGCTGCTCTAATACATTGAGAAGACAGTAAAGAAAATGATACTTTCAAAGCCCTACATCAGTGATGGCGAACCTTTTTTGGCTCGCATGCCAAAAGCGGGGGGAGCGCAGGGAGGTCGTGCGCAGGTGTACCACACCCATAATGCTATGCGCATGAATCCATATACCCCCCCTCCATTTTTGGCGTGCATTTTTCAGGCTCCAGAGGCTTTATAGGAGTACGGGGAGGGCAATAGCAGCTCCCCCCCCCACTCCCCTGGAGGCTCCTCTGAAGCCTCCAGAGCGCAAAAAATCGGCCCTATGGAACCGAAAGTTCAGGAACTGACTTCCAATTTGTTCATAGGGCCGGTTTTAGCCCACCGGAGCCTTCAGGAGGCTTCCCTGAAGACTCCCTGAAGCCTCTGGAGGGCGAAAAATGGCCTCAAAAGGTTGAATTCAACTGGCCATCGTGCACATGTGATGCACGGCCCTACATGATGTAAGTCTCATAGCTGTTGATGATTAGATTTTTTTTAATGAGATCGTAAAGATATGGATTACATTAATAGCTGCATTTTCTTTTCCTAATTACTTTTGAATACTAATTACATGGAAAATTTCTAAAACACTTTTTGAGCAGTGTCCACTAGTAACTTGAATCTATTGGTACACTGCATCACTCTCCTAACTGGTGGGATGAAGGCAACATTTTGTTGGCTTGCAAGATAGTCTCTAGGATAGATAAATCTTATATAGAATAGTGACTTTAGTATATCTGTCCAGATGTTCCCAAACTAAAAAAAGTAGTTATGCTGGTT